GGCTATAACTTTTTTACTTTAATTTTACCACAAAAATGTTAAAGGAAAAAAACATTTCTTTTGATCAGGTCTACTCACTGTTAAAATAAATGACTCAACTTCGAAGTCATACTGGCACTATTTGCAAAAGTGATATTCTCCGCATTTATCGCTATTTGCAAATTACTGACGGCAACTGAGAATAAAAAAATTAGAAAGACATGTACAAGTAACCGAAACAAGCTCGTGGATAGTGCAAGAGGTTTTTTACTAGTAATTTGATGCAAAAAGTTAACCTGATGCTGCTTCAACGTACCAATAAAGCAGGTAATTGAACTGTTTCAATATTCACGCGGATCTAAAATTTTTCGATAACGTAAAATCCATCTAAATTGTTCAGATAAGGTTCGAACTACAGATTTTTGCTGGCAATAAGGATGTCACACATTCACAGGGGCTTACAATTATATGCACAGTAGTAGCTGTTGCGCACTGTTACCTCTGTTTGTTTTACTATATGTCTACATCAAGTAGAGACAGAATTATTCTACTTTGAATCCGCGTCTTGCTTTTTGTTCAGCAAAAACCTCCATCGCAGAATCCAAATTAAGTGTATTAGCTACTGATCTTTCACTCGACGGTATTCTTTAATAATTTTCAAAGAGCTCATGACACGTTCAGCACTAGCTGAACCGATAAGCAAAGTCAATAAACTGCAGCTCTCTGGAAAACTGTCTATAAAATTGTTTGCAGTCATGAACTTCAAATAATCTAGCGGGATGTCATTAGTAAAATTACGATTTTCTGAAAAATGCATGCTCGTAAAACTAGCTAATTCATATTTTAGATTTGAAGTGAAAAATTCCGAATATTTTTCCATCAAATGTGACGCTGGTTTCTAATTCGTTTTCTTCTAGATTGACTAATTCATCTGGCAATATCATTCACTTCACGAAATCCTTAAGCACGTTCTTCCAATTCGTTACTCATTGAATCCAAAACTTAGTAATTTATGTTTATGTATTTCGTGTGTTTCCAGTGGCGAGTCTGCAGCTTTTTCGTCGAAAATTTTTTTGATTCTCCTCTTTCTGACAATGTGAAAACCAGGATTTTCCCATTCCATCTCTTCCCATTTACTCTTAGCCTTCAGAACAAAATTTGCCTTCGCTCCTCAAATCTTTTAATTTTTCTAATGCTGCTGAAAGCACCTTTGAGCCATCATCAAGTCTATTTCTTTCTTTTGCATTTGAACTTGCACAGTATTAATTAGGCTCAATACTGAATGCCACCATAACAAATTGAGGAAAAAGGTCCAGTTCATGGAGGAAATGAGAGATATTGCATTCATTATATCTTCATCCTCTAAGCAATTGATAATACATTCAAAAAATTTCTTCCACGATATTATCATGAAGAAAATAGATATGTTATCAAATAAAAAATGCACAGTATTGTGAAAGTTTATGGTTATAAGCATTGAAGACCTGAAAAGACTGTAATAGACGCATTACCAGAGAGGCTGATACTTACCACGAAGATATTTATTTATAGAACATTTTATGCCAGGTAATAATATATCACTGTAAGCACAAAATGAAACTCCTTCACTCCTTGAGAAATAAAAGGGTCATTCGGTCATTTTTTTAGAAATGAAATAGTCATTTTTCAAAAATTTCTTAAGAAATGAAAGGGAAATTTTCTTATTCAAACTGAATGCTAACGCGCTGTTTCATAAACATTACGCAGATGGTCATTAGAAGAATAGAACAACACTCTGAATTCTTGTTATTAATTTTACATTCAGACGCGCTGAACAATATAGACATTAGAGCTGATTTTTGCTGGGGGGGGGGGGGGGGGGGCTTGTGACCACACTTCCTTGGCGGGGCCCAGGCGGCAATGTCCATTTTGCCATTACTTAAATCCGCCACTGTGACATACAAAACCACAAAAGAGTTGTTGCACTAGATTCAAAGGAGATGGTAAGTATTAATATTAAACGATTCACAGGAAGACAAAAAAAGAAGAATTAATTTTGTTATTTAACAATAAATTGTTCATTTATAAATTAGATTTAATACTTTGATCACGTTTAAGCTGTATCCTAAGGGTACAAGAGTAGGGTTGTCATCTGCCGTCCGTCCGCCAGTCAAGTGTTTAATTTTTATGTTCAGAGGCACTGATGTCAAACAAGAACATCTTCCTGAACATGAAGTTTTTTTTTGACCAGTGTGACCCCCACCCCCCTCCCCCCAGACACAAATCCTGTATCCGCCGTTGCTTGATGTGAGAGTGGAACTATCAGAAATGTTAAATATCTCAGTTCGCGTTTGATAGCTCAATCACCACCTTGTCCCTATCGAAATTGTGAAACGATCTTCGAGGAGCCGTTTCTCAGTGCGCCTAACCTTAGTCAGCTTAAAAATCATACTAACCAAGTTCCTTTAACCTCCTTGCAGCGGTGCCATGGCATTTAGGCTTCTGCCTGCGCTCCTGCTTCGGAGTAAAAATCTATTTGTACGTATATTATAGCATACATCATAGATTTCCCCGTACATTTGCTCTTGGAACTTGGAGAAATATCAAACGAAACGACTGCCACCTAATCTTTCACCGCCACACTGCTGGAGCTGACCAGCATAGCATGGCTAGCGTTGCCATATTGCCGCTATTTTCAGTAACGGCCGGTAAGAAGTTTCTAGATAGCAGCGTTATCAAATGGGTGGGAACTAATTGATTATTTGTGAGCGCTCAGTTGATCCATGTGACTCACGCAAAATTAACCGGACAAACAAAATTTGGTCAAACTAAATTTTAAATAGCTTTTTAACCTTTGCATCAATTTCGTTAATTTTTTTGTCAAGTTGTAGTTGTTGTGATCATAATCGATTGTCGATCTTGAAATTGAATATGTTTGTTGTTATACAGGGTGCAACTAAAAGGTGCACTTTGCCCTAAATTTCTAAACACACTGTGGTTAAAAAGTTAGTTCAAATTTAATTTGAACAAACTTATGTTTGTCTGGTTAATTTTCCGTGGCAGTGTAGTAATCTTTCATGAACTGATAACAGCGTTGCGAGAGAAGTGCAGAGTCAACCCACTTGACGGCAGATACGGCAGTATTACTACGCACTCTCTATGTCGCTCGACTTGTATAGCGTTAGTGGTAACATACTGTAACGTCGCCAATCGATATTCTTACGCGTGAAGAAAGCCATGAAAGCCCCCACGCGCCGTGACCTCGTTCCACATACGCGCGATCGTGTTTTGTCTTCCGCTTCGACGCCTGCTGCGACGGACGTACGGTCACTCACGCAAGGCAGACGCGTTTTTCCTTGTTCTTAAGGGACGAGATGAAAGGAGACGAGCCGTTACGCTTTGACGCTTTCAAAGGACACGGTCGAGCTGGTGGAAAGACGAGATTATGCAGATGGACAGAGGGTACAGCGTGTCGAAGAGGTGAATGAGAAAGGGTTTTTTTTCGAGAACGATCGGTTATCCGATGTTTCGGAGGTAGCCATTGATGGGAGAAATCTTCTATCTCGATTGTTTTTCCATAAACAGGTTTTTACTGGATGACTACCATGTAACAGGAAGTTTCAGACGCAAAAAAATTCAACAAGTCGCAAAGAAATGGTTTACTCGTTACGAACAAGGTTTTTTAAGTTTTTTGGATCATTCTGAACAAAAAAGGTACTAAGTAGCTTTCCCTTAAAGTTAACCGTTTTCGAGTTATAAGCGATTATTCCTTTCTAATGTTTAAAAACTCGGTTAAACATGGTTAAAAATTATTCTTGAGATAGGCAAATGTGTAAACCAAAATTTAAAGCTTCTCCCGAAGAATATTTTGGAATTACCTAGTTTATTTTCAAGCATTTTTATTTAATTGTTTATCTATCTATCTATCTATCTATCTATCTATCTATCTATCTATCTATCTATCTATCTATCTATCTATCTATCTATCTATCTATCTATCTATCTATCTATCTATCTATCTATCTATCTATCTATTTATTTATTTATTTATTTATTTATTTATTTATTTGATTATGTATGTACTTATTTATTTATTGATGTTTTATACACTTGCGTTCATTATAAGAGACCTGAAAATTTATTATCTAGAAATAATGATATCAAGAATAAAAGTGAACCCATCTCAGAACCCTGTGGAACGTCATTGTACTGGAGGTAGTATTGTTGTGGGTTATAAGCTGCTGTCTGTTGTTCAAATAAGAGACAAGAGCCTAATGCTACTACCATGGGTACTTGTACTACAATTTTTGTAGAAGGAGTTATCTTGGACACAATCGAAGGCCTTATTACGATCGAGAAAATTAGCTGACCAACGAGCAGCGCTTTCAAAAGCTGCATTTATTTTCTCAATGAAGCTGTTAATAGCTAGAGAATTACACGTACTTGATCTGAAACCAAAGTCAGTAAATGGGTTGTTGCTTTCAAAATAGTTGATCAGCTGATCTTTCAAAATAATCTCAAGTATCTTAACAAATAGGGGCTTAAGAGAAATCGGTCTCTAATTTACAAGATCGTTGGAATCCCCTTTTTACACAGGAAAATAAATTTCGACACTGAAAATATCAGGAAATAAAAACGTGATGGTCCTGATTGTTTTCAAAAAAAAATTTGAAAGGGTTGAAATATGGGGATTGGGGGTTGTAGGGGGTGTAGGAGGGTTTAAATGAATGAATGAATAATGCAATTAAAGGTATACCGGCCACCCTAAGGAGCCGGCGTAGAAGGTGGGTAAAATATATCATAAAATAATGCTTCAAAAAATGGAGAAACATTTTTTTCTTTGGTGGAAGTCCAATATTCCAGTTTCTACACTACCACTATTTACAAATAATATAAACCTACTTTAACGCTATATTTGTCACACACCGGAGTGATTAAAAACGAATCGCAGTACTTGTAAAGCAGAAATTATGTCCAAAAATAACATAAAAATGCTCCAAAACGGAGGTACTTTTCATATTATTTTTGGATCTAGCATGTACCTACTTTCTATCCCAGATGTATTGTCTCTGTTTCCCGAATAACCCGGTATTTGAAATTCTGAAAACAACAGACAATATTACATTCCGATGAAGCCGCCTAGCGTCGAAACCGAAAAAGTAAGCCAGTAAAAAGCACGCTTAAATTTTGTCGCAGCTGTACCGTCAGGGGTACATTTTTTCTCGCTTTTTTCGGAAGGGTTGTCTTTTAATTATGTATTCGATGCACCCTGGCCAGTGCATGCACTGCGTTTGGGATGAAGAAATGAAATTAAAAATCTCCGGCTTGGACAGAATCCGGATTTCTGTTTATTAAAAAATACTCAGAAGTGGGAAGAGGCTGCGTCACAACATATGCACAGCACGGCAACTTTCATGGATATGAGTTCGTGCACTCCATTATAGGATATTTTTTTCCTATAAGTTTAGCGACAGTAATTTCGTTTAACGTTAAAATATTGCTTTCTAAAGATAGATAGATATATAGATAGATAGATAGATAGATGGATCTTTATTTCCAACAGATACAATTACCCAATTACAGAAAATAGTTCAAAAAGAAAACAAGAGCAACACATAATCCTAGTATATAAGAAAAAACGCAATCAAATTAATAATACAGCTAGATCAAAAAGCCAAAATATTAATAAAAAAGACTAACTATAACCGCAAAAAGGTCATTACATGCCATGGGAAATGGCCAGATAACGTTGTTTAAAGTCATTTCTAGATGTAGTATTCACATCACAATTTTCACCTAAAGAATTGAACTTCTCACACATAACCGTGACCTTCGATTTTTTCGAGATATTTGTTCGAGCTAATTCGCAGTAAAATGTCATTTGGTGACGCAAATTGCGCACAGGTACATGAAAGTTAAGCTTACTTAATATATATTCACATATGACATCATTGTGCAAAACATCATAAAGAAAATTTAAACTACTTATAACTCTCCTACTATTTAGCGACACAAGGGCCACCCTTCTGCGGGCTCTTCATTTATTTGTCCTCTATAAAATTCTGTGTATTGGTTGTGTATTTTGGTGACAAATAAATATAACTATTACTAAATATTACTATATAGTCAAATGTATTCATGAGTACAGAATAATCACATCGTCTCTCCGGATATTCGCCTGTCCACTTGAAATGCAGAAATTTCAAAAACTTTCTTTGTATTCGCTCAATACGGCTTATATGAACCGAATAGATGGGATACCAAATTAAAGAACAACTTTCCAATTTAGATCGAACGTACGAAGAATAAAGAAGCTTCAAAACATGTAAATTGGAAAATTGTCTACTGTTTCGGATGATGAAGCCCAACATTCGGTTGGCTGATGTTGTGATGTCATTTATATGATCACAAAATGACAAATTGCTATCACGAGACCGATATTTTTAATTTGATAGCACCTATTCAACTCATTCTCGCTTATTCTGTAGGACCATATTATTGGTTCTTTCTTTCTGGTGTACGTTAATATGAAGCATTTATCTACATTAACTTGAAAATGATTAGCATTACACCAATCCAAGACAAGGCCAATGTTTTTAGGTCATCCGCATAGAGCAACTTTTGGCATGTAATCATCATAGCTAGGACGTTTATATATAACAAAAACAATAGAGGTCCTAAATTCGATCCTTGGGGAATCCCAGATGTTGGCGAGATAATCTCAGAGCGGTACCCTTCATATTCCACAAATTGCACTCGATTAAATAAATACGATTTAAGCAAGCTTAGAAGACGTGCCGAAAACCCAAATCCTTGTAATTTTTTCATTAAGATGTATAACTCGGTCAAATGCCTTCTGTAAATCCATGTAAACTACATCCGTCTGTCCTCTGCTATCAAGGTTTTCACTCATGGATTGAGTAATATACTAAGTGACATATAAATCCGAACACCCAGTTTAAATGGTTTTATTTTAATAAAATTTTGTATAAGTACTTAATGAAGCATAATAAGTAAATGATAAAAATTTCAAAATGATTAAAGCCCTTTGACATTTAATAATGTGTGGATGCACCCTGATGTGCTACGCATTCTCCAACGCGCCTAGGCACGCTTCTGATCAGGTGGTCAATGTCCTCCTGTGGTATCTCATTCCAGGCAACCACCAACTCCTCTCGAAGTGCTTCTAGAGTCTGAGGAGGACGTTGCAAATTGAGCAATCTCCTACCCATCATATCCCACACGTGCTCAATTGGGGATAAGTCGGGAGATCTTGGTGGCCATGGTAACAATGTGACATCATTATGTTGAAAGAAGTCTATTGTGACTCTTGCAACATGTGGTCGGGCATTATCTTGTTGGAAAGTTGGATCTGCCAGGGTGTCAAGATAGGGTAAAAGATGGGGTTCTAGAACTTCGTGGATATAACGCTGCGCGTTCATGTTACCTCTGATGAAGATTAAAGGTGACCTGGCACCATAAGCTATAGCACCCCAAACCATAACTCCAACAGTGTGATGAACATGTCTTTCAACAAAAAACTGTGGATTCCTCCTTTCACCACGTCGCCTTCTAACCCTGGCACGACCATCATGCATGCCTAAACAAAATCGAGACTCGTCACTAAAGACAATACTGTTCCATTCCTGATCCCAGAGTGACCGTTGTCTGCACCACTCTAGGCGATTACGTCGGTGTTCTCGAGTTAAAGGGAGGACCCAGTGTGGCCGGTATGAAAACAAGCCAAAACTTCTCATTCGTCGGTAAACACTTCGCATGCCAATAGGTCTTCCGTATTCTGCAAACCATTCATTTGCAATGGACCTGGTAGTGGAGAAACGGTCCCTTAAGGCCAATAATCTTAGGCGGCGATCTTCACGGTCTGTTGTTCTACGGCGGCGTCCAGTGCCCCTTGCTCTTTGCGTACGGCCTTCTCGAAGCCATGCCTGACAACACCTAACCACAGTGTCTACACTTCTTTGCACTCTAACTGCAATTGCCCGAAAAGAAGGTCCCGCTTCCCGAAGTCCCACTATACGGCCCCTATCAAATTCACTAAGTTGAAGAAATCGTACAGGTCTCCGTACTCTAGGCATCGTAACCGATCGTAAAGGATGTCAAGAACCAAAATCCGCCAACGTTGATTCTTTACTGCGACTGAAATATTCATTTTTAGAGCGTTAGTGAATTAAAAAAAGCAATATAAAAACCGGAATGTACAACTGATAAGGCTGAAAATTTTTTCACTTGTTATTTACAGTAAGATAAATACATTCACCAACTTTTATTAAAATAAAACCATTTAAACTGGGTGTTCGGATTTATATGTCCCAGATTTGACGTACAGGATTTTTTCTCTTGGAAGCCATGCTGTTCTGCTACAATTAGGTTTTTAGGGTGAATATAAATCACTTCAAAAACAATAATTTCAAATAGCTTTGTAAAGTTGGATACTGCAACGATAGGGCGGTAAATTTTAATTAAAGCTCTATCACTCTTCTTCAGCACCGGGGTAACTCTGGATATCGTCCAGTTGTCTGGAAAGATGCCCGTCTTCAAAATAATGTTGAACAGATGTATTAATGGTCTGAGTAGCGCATGTATGCAATCCTTCACTAAGAAGCTGGGTATTTGATCAGGGCCTATAATCAACTTATTTGTTAACTTTTTCGCCGCTTTAAAAACATCAGCTTCACATATTTGAGGTAAATCTATAAACAAGGAGTTCCCATAATCCAGGATTACATTTTCACTAAGGTTTTGATCAGGAACTGTCTAAAAATACTGTTTAAATGGGTCAACAATATCTTTGGGTTTTGCTAAGGTAGTTTCATTATATTTCATGATACCAGGTAAACGGGATATTCCTTTTTTACTGTGGATAAAATTCCAAAACAGAAGGATCTGATAAAATATTGTTTTCTGCTGCCAACATAAAATTACGATATTCGTTGTCAGCTTGAGTTTTTATCGTCCTTCTTAAAGAATCGAATCTTGTACGAGATGCTTCATCTCCATATCTTTTGTAGTTTTTATGTACTAGTTCAAACTGGTGTTACGATCGGGCTGGAGCTTTTGCCGCTATTTTGAAAAACGCGTTCGGTCGAAAATCTCGAAAACCATCAATCCCACGTAAAATGTATAAAAAAGTTTATGAGGTATTAAATCCTTTATCACTTTGCCTCAACAAAAAAGCACAGTTTTTCTTTAATAACCAACCAATATTTTTTCGAGAAGCTTTTTTATTCTTAGTTAGGACTGGTTGATACTGAAAAAAGGTAAATGTAACGCCACCAGTCGCAAAGCACGCCAGTCTTCAAAAGGTACAATTTCGTTTTAATCGACACGAGTTTTTGCTCTATCCATCATAATGCAAAGCATCCCGTCAGCTCACTTTCACTTCGACAACTCAGAAAAATAAACATTCAACTACCTAAGGCCCGTATCGTCAGTCGTCCCTACAATTGTAGGGCGCGCTTATGGCCTCCTTGATTGTCATACTCTTGTCTCTCCTTTAAAAATTTCTAGATTACACTTGTCCCGTGTCAGCGTCAGCGCTCTCCTATTGTGAAGATAAGTTTTCTTTTTAAATTGTAGGAAATTTCAGGCTGATAAAACATGATACAACTCAAAAACAAGCACAATTTGATGCAAATAGATGTTTGTGACATAACCTCAAAATAGAGCGCTGACACGGAGAAGTAGAAAACTATGACAATCGAGGAGACCATAAAGGCGCCCTACAATTGTAGGGACGACTGACGATACGGGTCTAAAACGTGCATCTAGTGATCAACACACGTAAGCCACTCATCAGCTTCTCGCAATGTATTGAGTTTAAAAGGTCTTCTAAAAACTTAGAAGTCACCTTGCTGTGCAGTATTAAATGTGCTGTGACTGCATTTTGCAGCAGATTTGTCGCCTGCTTTGATGTAGAAGCCAACAATCGCACTGATTTTGTCATGTGGGTAGATGTGTTTATTGTTCGACAGCATGCTTCGTGATTTCGGTTTTAACTTTTTATTTGATGGAATTTGTCGCAGATACGCACAAAAATATCTCTTAATTAGAGACACGCATTGTTTTCTTGCTCGATCTAAAAACAATTTTTTTCAATTTGACAGATAGCATGAGCGGACCTCCGGACATAGGGTCCGCGAGGTGTATAGGCAAAGATTTGAAAAGTGTTAATCACGTCAATGTTTGTCTAGTAAACGGGCCCCTAGACAGATTTTTATATCGAGCCGCTCTAGGGCCAGCTGCGTCACTGCCAGATTCAAATTCAGCTTATTTATTATCCTTTAGGCAATGAAATACATGCTTAAAGCTTCTCCCGAAGAGTATTTTGAAATTACCTAGTTTGTTTTCAAGCATTGTTATTTATTTATTTATTTATTTATTTATTTATTTATTTATTTATTTATTTATCTATTTATCTATTTATCTATTTATTTATTTATTTATTTATCTATTTATTTATCTATTTATCTATTTATCTATTTATCTATTTATCCATTTATCTATTTATCTATTTATCTATTTATCTATTTATCTATTTATCTATTTATCTATTTATCTATTTATCTATTTATCTATTTATTTATTTATTTATTTATTTATTTATTTATTTATTTAGTCATTCATTCATATTTATTTATTTATTTATTTGATATATTTCTTAATTAGAGAGCATACACACACATTGTTTTCTTGCTGGGTCTAAAAACTAGTTTTTTCAATTTGACAGATAGCATGAGCGGGCCTCCGGACATAGGGTCCGCGAGATGTATATTCAAAGATTCGAAAAGTGTTAGTCACGATAATGTTTGTCTGTTAAACGGGCCCCTAGACAGATTTTGATATGGAGCCGCTCTAGGGCCAGCCGCGTCACTGGCAGATTCAAATTCAGCTTAATTATTATCTTTTAGGCAATGTAATACGTGCTTGGGATTCATCAACTTACTTAACTAAAAACAATTATTTAAAAAGCGTTTACAAAACAAATAACATAAATAAATAAATAGCGTTAAGGAGTTGGGGAAACCGTTTACAGGTCAATCCTAAGATAAATCACACTATTAAAAACAGAAAACATACAAAAAGCAGGTGATTTCATCTAAAGGAAAAAACCAACAAGAAAAAGAAGCAAAACACATATTTATATAAGTGAGAAACTAACAATAGAAGACCTCAGAAGCAGGATAATATATGAAGCACAAGGAATTCAAGCCTCTCTTAGGAATTCGGCAATAGTAAAATCAGCTACAATAAGAGCACGTAAGTGCATTAAAAATACAGGGCGTCATATTGAAATTGTATTATAAAAATGAAAAATGCAGTTTCAAACAAATTATACTGTATTAAAGTACGATTTTGTATTTGTAGTATTTTTATGGCTTCTTCCTTCCTCCTCTTATAATAGTCATATTTTTGACAATTATTAACCGATTTGTGATTTTTATACCTCATTTGAAAGGTAATGAAACGTAGATGTTTTGTAGTAATTTTGTATTAAAAATTTGTAGTTGTTTTTTGTAGTAAATTGAAGTTTTTGAGATGCACAAAGATTTTTTTAACAAAAATCGAACTACTTTGGATCTTACTGAGTATCAATTTTCGTATCCTAGAATATTTCTATCGTAGACCAAAAAAAAAATCAGATAAAACACCCAATTTTTAAGTTTTATGACTTGTTCAACGAATGAACGATGTTAATTTTATAAAAACTTGAATACTAGTATAACTCGAAAACGGCTAATTTTCGGTAATTCCTATAGTAAAATCGACTCAGATTAGCATGTACTTTCTCCCCCTACCGGCTTCGCATCTACTTTCTTGTCACCCTGTATATCTAATTGCTCGTTTTTGGTTCAAAAAAGCCTGCTGAGCGTTAGTTGACAAGCCGCAGAATCACAAACCGTATCTTAATCTCGATTCGATCTAAGCATAATAAATAGCAACTGACTCTTCGATAAAACAGTTTTTAGAATTCTGATGACATAAGTTTGGGAATTTATTTTTGAGACTAGATTCTTGCACTGTTCTTTAAAATTCAGGCTCGCATCAAGATATGATCCCAAAAACTTTAGTTGTGCTCCAAATGATCGTATTTTTGAGCTATTTACATTGATGTTAAGCACTTCTATTTTTTCTGAATGTTATAGAACCTCACAAGTTTATTACTCCTCAATGCAGTGTCGCATCTGTTCGATATAACAACAGGCGTATCATCCGCATAAAGGATGCCAATGTTCTAAATCATTGATATATGAGGAGAACAACGCTGGCCCCAAAACAGATCCCTGAGGAACACCTATGGACAGCTGTTTCATGCTTTCTGGCTGCTCATCAGCAAGGTCTAGGCTGGGTGTCTCGGACAACGAACGAACTATACACTATCAAAATTGAGACATCTATCGAAATAAGACATCACTAGAATTGACCTGGGTGTAAACTCTGGGCGCTGAAGAAAGACATTAAACGTAAACAGTGATCAGCACGTGAACAGATCCCTCGAAAGCATCCACGGATATACTCCAGTCACTTTAGGTCTAAACATCCTCTGCAGTGTATTTCTAGTGAATCCACAGACCCTTTTTCGTGTCATCTTGAGACTAGAAAAAGGATGACTGTTAAAATAAGTTACCTTGATCTTTCATGAGCTCCCAGTACAAAACATCATCGATATATTTTTGATGTAGGAACAACAAATTGGTTTAGAAAACATCCACTTTGAATCTAAATTGACTGGAGTAACATCGATCTACAGACAAATTCAAGGTCACTAGCAGTCGTCGGCGCTCTACGAATCTGCACAAGTTTGGACTTGTAAACGTGATTGTAGATGACACGACTGGCATCTAACAGTTAATTCACGCACAGGATTGCATTGCATACGCATTACGCATTCAGTAGCGTATACTCGTTTTTCGCGAGTGGAACGTTTTGTTTATATATTGCCTAAGATACGATGTCTGACACAGATACAGCCGACGAAGTGGTTGACATCAGCGCAACCCCACCCAAAAAAAGGGCTAAGAAGCTACATTTAAGTGCAAATGAAAAACAAATAATATTAAATATATACAAAAACCAAATTCAAGAAAAACCCGATTTGGTCGTGGACGAAGTTATATGTAAGGTAGCACATATTTCTGGAGTATGTCGGTCCAGTGTTTATAGGATCATTAAGGAATATAGGAGCACTCACTCACTTTCTGAGCCAAAACCGTATCCTGCAAGAAAAATGAATGAATCAAAAAAGACAGGGGACTATCATGAGGAGATGGACGGCAATTCCTTTGAAAATTGGTTCTCCAAAATGTTACTAAAGCTGGAGAATAACGCTGTTATTGTACTGGATAATGCAGCGTACCATTCTAGAAAAATAGAAAAAATTCCCACAATGGCAACTAAAAAAGCAAACATACAACAATGGCTGGCCTCAAAACAGATCGATTTTGATGAAACAATGGTCAAGGGTGAATTGATAAGTATAGTCAATAGACATAAATACAAATACGATTTTAAAATGATCGACGAAATGGCCAAAAAACAAAATAAAACTGTCTTGAGACTGCCACCCTACCATTGTGAGCTGAACCCTATTGAGCTGATTTGGGCCAACATAAAGCAATACGTGGCGTCGAATAATAATACTTATAAATTTTCTGATGTTAAAAATCTCTTTCACATCGCAGTCAATAGAGTTACGGCAGAGGAATGGAAAAACTGTATCCGCCACGTTCGGGAGAAGGTTGAGGTCAAAATGTGGGATTTGGACAATGTCATCGATACCCAAATTGAACCTCTAATAATTCATTTAAACGATTCAGAAGATTCAAGTTCCTCTTCTGAATGAGTGCGCGCAACTTACTTACTAATAACTAAACAGTGTAGTTAACTCATTTGTGAATCTCTAACTGAAATTTACTGTAAAAGATAATAATTATCTTGTATGAAATTTTTGATGACTACCCATAATATCTTGATGCGGTCCTGTAATGTCTCCTGCGCCTAAACACTCACTCACGAGCAATATGCGTGTATTTGTTTGGGTTTAGTTTCTTTCTTCAGCGCCTAGAGTATAGTTAGCTGATGATCACGTCCTGAATAATCGCTGAGGGTGGCGTACAAAGGTCCTAAGTGCCGTGATCTTGGTCGGTTACCGTTCCTCCGATACGGAATATTGCGATCGAGACAAAAAGGAACTATCCTACGTTATCAAGATCAATACAGGTAATTAATATGCTGCGTCGGGTGTCGGCCCGTGTCCGCTTGCTAGTATGGTCTGCCCTGCGACCCGCGTATCCATGTATCCATAAAACAACATTATAGAGTGGAAAACGGATTCGGCTCGGAATTTATGTATTGAAAACAATGAGAACACCGACCGCCAATAGTGTGACGCTGAATCGGTAGGGACGTCGGCTAAAGCTGCTTGCACACGTAGTAACGAAGAGAACAGAATTAAAGGTAAACCACCCGACAAAGCAGGGTCCCCGCCCCGTGCTATGCATCGAAAACAAATAGCACACATTCTCTAATTCAACATTTCTTCGTGATCCTCATAGCAGCCGCGGTCTCCTGGCATTTAGGCTTCTTCCTACGCTACTGGCGAGGCAACAATGAACATGTCAACCATAAACAGGTGTTTCATGTTTTTTGACTACTGCTCCGCATGGGTCTTTTGGACAACGAGCGAAAGCATAGCAATTATCATTAACTTAAGATATGAAATGGAAAATGGAAAAATGGACTTTACCTAGTCTGAAACGACTAAGCTGATAATAAGTATACGTAAATGATAAAAATTTCAAAATGATTGCACTGCTTTAAAGCCCTTTGACCTTTAATAATGTGTGGATGCACCCTGATGTGCTACGCATTCTCCAACGCACCTAGGCATGCTTCTGATCAGGTGGTCAATGTCCTCCTCTGGTATCACATTCCAGGCAACCACCAACTCCTCTCGAAGTGCTTCTAGAGTCTGAGGAGGACGTTGCAAATTGAGCAATCTCCTACCCATCATATCTCACACGTGCTCATTTGGGGATAAGTCGGGAGATCTTGGTGGCCATAGTAACAATGTGACAT